AGGCTGCCGAGGCTGCCAAGCCTTTGGGGAAACTCAGATGCCGGACCAGAGGGGCAGATTTCAGGTCTTCCTCAGTGAATAACTCTTGCTGTACAGCCTGCAGGAGGCTGCAAATTGAACCGTAGGTGTGTCTTGTTGCGACAAAACAGTATTTCGAATTTCGAGCCGTAATTCCAAGCGGAAAATTTGGTCCAATGTTGGTGTTTTTTTTGGCATCTGTCTAGCTGGTACAAATATGCGCCGGCTTGTAAGAATTGGGAATACTTCAAGGCTGATATTCCTTCAATTTCATGCCAAGAAATATATATTCTATAAAGCGCGAAGCATGAACGCCTCACGATAACTAACATTTTTCGGCGGCAGAAAGAGGCCAAGTCAAATGGATGGCATGACAGACCGTAAATTGGATATTCCGAACAATCGAGACAGATGAGGAGACAGCAAATGCGTGGAAATATCCGCATGAAGGACCATGCGTCGCTTCAATATCTGTGGCCACCACAAGAGCTGGAAGTTGATTCCCTGAATCGCGGGTTCTGATATTGCCTCCAGCTACACACATGGCACAACCCTGGTGAGTAACGCGATAGAAGAGGGCAACAGTTGGGGTCGAAGGGAAGCCCCGGCGTATGGAATTCGTGGGTATGGATCCGATTCAGTTCATGGAAGACTTTCATGCAAGGCTGCCCATAACGCCATTCAACATGCCCACAGCCAGCGTAATGGATTTTAAAGTCTTGACACATGATCGAATTCCCGTAGCGACAGGAGGGATTTAGGAGTCCTCTAGCAAAGGATACGGAAGAGATCGCAAGATCCAGACTTATGCTAGGGAGGCAGCGTGTGGGTGCCAAAGTCCCGGGTATAACGTTTTTATGTGTGCCCGGCGCTATCCAGCGTATCCTCATCTAAGTCCGCAAAGGGGATCTGGTCCTTAAATGCAGGCTTATCCTAGAATCCCTCGACGACACCCAACATTGAACAACCTGCTGACGATATGCTCCATCGTACCGCTGGCAGCTAGGCAAAAGCTGTCTTTAGTATCGGCACTGGATACCGTGATACGTCACAGCTTGCGTAACTGGACGGGGCTCGTGGCAAGCAAGGCGCGGAACAATGCAAACGGAACAGTGGAGAGAACAGCTGCCAAATCAAGGTACTCGCCGATACTCCGTGGAGAGCAGTTATCAGAAGGAAGTAATTCAAACAGTGATGGCTCTGGAGGGGAGTTAGGAATTCATCTTTGTGGGCTAATGCTTGTGGGGAGAACATCTCATCTTCATCTATACCACGTGGGTTATTGTTCTTGACGACAGAAATCGGCACGAACGGTAGTCCAACGCCCGTCTTCCACTCGAAAATGGGGTTTGGCCGCTTAAGTGTGGGTAAAAGTGCCTTGCGCTTGTACATGTGCTACGGGATCATCATGGTTTGCAGCTTTCCCCTAGGACTTATAGGAAGCAATGCCGCTTCCGAGGCGGGGAAGTAGAATAGCGAACGGAGAGATGATGAAATGTCTGTAAGCGAAGTACGAGAAGTGCATTTCTTAGGCGGTTAATGCGCGAATGGGTGTGCTTGCAATTGGGAACATGCATAGATAGCCAACAAATCTGCGCTAGATCTGATACAGACTAGTGCACTAACGAACAGAGCTTTTAGGAGACGCAGATAGAGGGGCCTAGAAAGCTTATATCAGGGTCTATTATGAATACACATGCTACCCTATTGAATTCGACGTGGAAAACAACAATATAGAGGAAGTGCAGGGCTGTCTTCAGTAGGACGTAGAAAGAGCCCCACTCTGGGGCAGTCACCTGGGCATGCATATGTCAAACCCTAATTTGTCCATCGCAAGGGCGCGGCTAACTGGAAACTTCCAATCGCCCGCGAAGGTGCTCCGTAAAAACAATATAAATAAAGAAAAGCGTCACTACAAGGCCAACCGACAGTTGATCAATTTTCGATACTCAATTCTCAATAAGACATTTGCCGATACCCCACATCCTTTCTAAAATGCGCCTCTACGAGTCCTCCATCCCATCCGGCAACGCCTATAAAGTGTCCCTCCTCCTATCGCATCTCAATATCCCATTTGAGACAACTAGCTTGGACATCCTGGCTACGCCACCCGAGACTCGTCGTCCAGAGTTTCTCAAGATCAACCGCAATGGTCGCATCCCCGTACTGGTTCTTGACGATCCCAACACTCCTCCCCTCGCAGAGTCGAATGCTATCATCTTCTACCTTGCAGAGACATATGGTCGATTCCTTCCTACCACGGCACTAGGTAGAGCTCAAGTCCTGCAGTGGCTCTTCTTCGAACAGTACTCCCATGAGCCTTATATTGCTGCCTTGAAATACTGGACGTACTGGGCGCCGGAGCAGTTTGAGGAAAGAGGAGAAAAGGAGGTCAAGCGCATCAAAGAGAGGGGTCAGGCGGCTTTGGATGTCATGGAAGGTCATTTGAAAGGAGAGGAAGGTGAAGCACCCAGAGAATGGTTCGTCGGGAATGGCATGACGATTGCAGATATTGCGCTTTACGCTTATACGCAGAGCGCTGAGATGATTGGATTCACACTAGGGGAGAATGTGAAGGCTTGGCTCGAGAGAGTGCGCAACCAGGAAGGGCATGTCAGAATCAGGAAGGACCCCCTGGGCAAATGTCCTCTTTGATAGGGTGAGGGTGGTCGGCGGTGATTCTCTGTTGTCGAGTTCTTATGTCCCAAGCAATGGCACGTTTCAATTTACCTACCTTATGCCACGAGCTTCATAGTCGGCGATTTTGGCGGATAAACATAATGACCAATTGCGAAGTCTTATATGTGGACAGCCTCACGTCAGGCCCCAGCTCTGGAAAGAGGGTACATAATCTCGTTATTCAGCACCACCTGGACAGAAGCAATGTGGCTTCACCATTGGCACGACTGGGTATGATTATTTGGTCTGACAGTGTTTTGTGAGTCATTGGCCTCTCATCAGCACCATATATCTCGTGTGGAGTCTATTGGCTCCGCGCATTCTCACCTTCCCCATTGGGCTCCATAGTCGACCAGTGTCAGACCCGACATGTAAAAGACTTCTCATACAGCTCCTGCCGATTATGCTATAGAAGACGCGAGCTCGAAGAAGAACTGCCGTTGAGCACTTCAGGGACACAGTCGATGGTAACCAAATCATTCCCTTCACCATCATGTCAGCATCCTCCACCACTACCGCACCTACTCGCCAGCGAATAAGAGAACTGCTCCCGAAGGTGGAGTTTGGCAGGCACAAAACAGGAATTAAGAACAGCTTCACCGACGTTCCCGGCGTTTTGGTGTCTACCCAATCCATCCATGAGTCGTCAAAGTATCCCCACGTGGCCCCTCATTCCATCAACACCGGGCTGACGACCATCCTTACCCGGAAGGAGTGGTTTCACAAAGCATGCCTCGCAGGGATATTCCGCTTCAACGGCTCTGGAGAAATGACCGGAAGCCACTGGATCGAAGAAACGTGTCTGCTTCACTCGCCTATCCTGCTCACGGGAAGTTTTGGTGTCGGGTCAGCTTACAATGGCATTTACGAGTACGCCATTCGCGAGCATGCGGACCAAGATGGAAAGGTAGATTGGTTTCTGCTCCCAGTTGTTGCTGAGACGTTCGACGGCTTCCTACACGATGTCACCAAGTTTGCCGTGACTCCAGAGCACGTTATCAAGGGAATTGACGAGGCGAGCAGTGACCCTGTGAGAGAAGGAAATACAGGCGGTGGAACAGGAATGATATGTCACTATTTCAAAGGCGGCACCGGGTCCAGCAGTCGAGTCGTTCCTGCCCAAGGGGCAAAGGCTTATACTATTGGAGCTCTTGTCCAGGCAAACTACGGCAAAATGAAGGACTTTCGAATCGCTGGCACGCCCATAGGGCGCTTAATATTCGAGGAGCAGGAGCGAAATGCGAGAGATAATCCAGACGACCCCGAGATACTTGCGCAAGCCAATCTTCTCTTCAAGATTGGAAAAGCAAAGGACAGAAAAGATGGTAGCATCATCGTGATTCTGGCCACTGATGCTCCGCTTCATCCAACGCAGCTACAACGTCTTGCCAAACGTGCTACTGTCGGCCTGGCGAGAGTAGGCGGCTGGGGATCCAATCCTTCTGGGGATATCTTTCTAGCTTTCTCGACTGGCAATGCATTGGATGTTCAGACTGTGACGGCTAGCGGCACTGTAGTCGATCCTTGGACTGCCAGACCGGTAGGCATAGAGATGGTGGATGATCAGACAATCAACTCGCTCTTTGAAGCAACAGCTGATGCTGTGGAAGAGGCGATCTACAACGCGGTCTGTATGGCAGACACTATGAAGGGCGTCAATGCCACAGTTGATGCGCTGAACCTTCAGAAGGTGAAGGAGTTGATGCAGAAGTAGGCTTAGAGAAAGCGATGCATATACGCATATGCACTCTTGTGGCAATTACAGTTAGTATAGCCCAATGTTCATGCAGCGTCGTCGATTCCTGTTGAGCGAGAAGTGATGTACAAAGAACATTCACCGGGGCACAAATCCCGCGCTAACCGATTTCATCTTAGCGTCCCCCACTCACGTGCGTACCTAAGCGAGACCCGGCCCGAGCGAAATTCCCACAACCTCGACTTCGAAAACGCGCGACGACGAGAACCACGACGCTCTGAGACCCCGCAAGTACTTATCTACCCGCTGTTATACCTACTCACTTCATTCGCCATGGAGAACGAACGCGGTGAGCTCGTCGACCTGTGAGTCCCCTTCGAGCCCCTCCCCTGGTATTCCGGTCTCTCCCCACAAAATTCGCACACCACGCATGTCGGTATGAAGCACAGGACGCGGGAACTGACAATGAGCCCGTAGCTACGTGCCGCGCAAGTGCAGCGCCACTGGCCGCATCATCAAGGCCAAGGACCACGCCTCCGTCCAGATCAGCATCGGCAAGGTCGATGAGAACGGACGCTACACCGGTTCGTGGAAGAACATGAGAGAAGGGAGAACCAAGGGAGGCTAATGTTGGATTCAGGAGAGAACCAGACCTATGCTCTCTGCGGCTTCGTGCGTGCCATGGGCGAGAGCGACGACAGCCTCAACAGGCTGACCCAGAGGGATGGCTTCCTCAAGGGTGTCTGGAGCGCGTCGCGGTAAAGAAAGTTCAACGAGTTGCGGATGGCAGGAGTTATGCGACATGCTCAGCAGACAGCTGGCGTGGCTCGAATGGAGGTTGATTACGAGGCAGGCGAACAATATTCGAACACTAAAATGGAGGAATGGTCGTTTGGGCTGTCGGATGGCGCCGTTTCTTCCTCGGTATTTCCGGCGGTGTGACGAAGCCCATGGTCAGGGCAGGATACGGTCAAGATGAATATTCTCGAAACTCATCAAATTCGGAAGCCGCAAGGCCAGTTCACTGGGTGCCTCAAGTTCTGTGTTTTGCTGCCCTGCTCTATGGGCAAGAGGTCTACAAACGGCGAATTCGACATGAAGATTAGGACTATGCCAACGACATGGGACAGTCACATACGCATTCACTTCGCCACTCACTCAGTTTAGCTGATTATTGCTCAATCCAGACGACATCGTACCCGTGCGTTTGAGAAGCGGCCCTCACAGATGGCGACGACGCACGAAGTATGCAATCCCAACGGCTTCACGTTCCGTTCATCCCCTCGAATTAGCATCCAGCGCTCATATCACCCCCCGAGAGACGCCCAGCGCCATCTCTATTGTTGTTCAACACACTGAGGGCATCCTCACATACAGTCAATAAGCCTTGCAGCTCTAACCACAACCACTGCACAACCCGTTCCACCCTCGAGCCCTTCGCCCGCCCCCTTTGCTCTCGCGTCCAGTGCTGTCCAGGCTCCCTCTATCTAGACCCTTTTGTGCACTTGTGTCAATCCGAACTGCTGTGTTACATGCGACGAAAATGCGTGCTGCTGAAAACTACTGGACAGTGCCCCAGGCTCAGCAGACATCCTTGCCAGATAAAACCTCGTCATTTGAGTAGTTTCGTCAATGGTGGTGCAGTTCCCTGTGTAGTGTATCGTACACCGCTTCCGCGGAAGATGTTCCCCGTTCTAGGGTGGTCACATTGGTGGTTGGTCTGATCAAGTAGATACCTGGGTACAACCATCTCAAGAAGCTGTACTCAGGTATCACGTTGCTTCTCGTAGACCGGTCCTGGATCTCCCGGAGTTGATGACGCTCCTGGATGGTTTCGCATGGGAGAAGAACGCATGCTGCACAAGTAGTTGCCCAGCAACGCAGGACACGACATCTTGCATCTCGCCATCTCACATGTCTCATCTATCTGCCTTCCCCGTCTCCGTCTACGGCTTTGTCTCGCGTCTTGCATCATCCCGCCCGCCTCCGCCGCCCTCGGCCGCCGTCGTCATTTGCTTCCCAATATTCGTTCACCGATGAGACAACTTCCGCCATGCATCCATGTACGATGGGTGGATGTGTATCAGCGGCAAGCCGACCTTGAGGAACAAGTAGAAGCGCTGCGTTCAAAGTTAACGATGACGGGTGGATACAGGGAAGACGGCAGAATATCGTAAAGACACCCAGCTTTGTGGTCTACCCGGCTCCAGCACTGAGGAGGGCCGCATAGAGCCAGAAATCGCTTTCTCGAGTAGGTTGGGAGCCTACACAGGCTGATTTGGGGATGAGGTGAGGGGTAGACCTCTCCGTAGGTACGTAGCTCAGCCTTGTTGTTACATATTACCATTTAACCTGTCAGTACTGTGTGGTAGTGTCACATAGTGTGGTACACGAAAGGGGACCAACAACAGCCTGGCTCCGAGCAATGGTTGCTCCAGATCCCACGAATCCCGGGAAACTGGAAACGCCCATTTAATTTTTACTCTTTTTTCTTTCCCCCTTATTTTCCCCCTTAGGTTTCATTATCAAGAAAGATTGCCTCCCAATGGTGATCTCGACGATTCCCTGACATGCATTTGACTGTTTCATCAACTTTCTTGCATGGAGAATCAAGTCCTTTGCTGCCCAAAATCAGCTCTCCACCGATGAAGGCGACATAGATACCACGTCACAGAGAGCTCACGGAGACGGGCGCCTCATCGGTGTGGTTGTCGAAGTTTACTTTGCCTCTCCTCGAGCCTCCCTGCTTAATATGTATTGCATCCTTTGTTGGCGAATTGGTGAACAGCGATCAAATCGGTGAAATGTGAGGCGAGTGGCTTACATGCACCGACGATCCCCCGTTGCAGACATTATTCGTACCAACCTGGTACATGCGCCGTATTTCGCTTTCTTTCGTTGATGGATATCGGGTGCCAGTTCAGCACCAGACTTGCAGCTGCCAGGTAGTTGGCTCACACAGTTGGCAGACAAATAATCACTCGCCCAGAATCACCCCTCTCGGAGAGAGGATAATTCCCGCCATGCCGTAGTCTAAAACCCCATTCCTGTGAGCTATATATATCCTATATTATTCTGCATCTGCACTTCTCTGTAAAAGTCAGAACCTGCACGCTGAAACTCAATCTTCCTTTGTTCCCCAAGGGCGGTCAACACATCACTCGCAGATGCCGAAGGTCGTGCATCCATTTCAAGTACCAGCAGAAGACTTTGTTATTATAATAATCAAAACATCTCTTTTAAAAAGATGCAATATACAAAGCGGTCGTAGCACTACAGATGCACACTTACAATGCTTCCCAAAGCATACAAGCAATTCAACACACCGCCCATCCGAGGTTGCTAAAAGCAACTTCCAGTAAGCACACCAAGCCTTCCAGAACCAAGCCCTCGCAACGCCTACGCCGCAAAAAGCCACCAAAAAAACGTGGCCCTCGTTCCGATCCCTGGCATGGACCGCCAACCGAGTCGATGCATGCGCCAAGCCTTGATGCGATGCCAGGGATCAACCCACGCAGTCGCCATTCGAGAGAGCGGTGTGACGGTCTGCAAGGGCGGGCGTCGCCCGTAGCTCCCCGGATGACGGGGAGGAAGAACTGAGGAACCCGACATCATGAGGGTCCTAGCTAACTAACTCGAGACTCATCTGCGATGGGTGTCTCGGTGTGCCTCGTAAAGTTGTGATAATGCAGGCACCTAGCCGAGATGAACGAAGGACCTCGAAACTGATTCAGCAGAGTGCATGGTGGAAGAAGCGAAGCTTTGAAACCTCCACCGGGCTCATCGCGAATCCTCAGGACCCACGACTCGAACCCTTCTCGCGTCCTCCTTCTTGCCGAGCTGAGTTCCGGCTGAAGACGCCCCAGTAGTGGTAGAAACTTGATTCCGTGGTGAATCGACACTCTCCGTTGTTGAACCGTCCCCTACAGGGAGTGTGCCACGAACGGCAGAGACAGCTTTACTCTCCCCAATCTTCCAATCGTCACCTTTACGAACCATTTTCGACCTCTCCTTCTCTGCTTTCCTTGCTATCATCTCGTCAAGTTTATCGTGGCGGCGGCGGCCGCTCACACAGTCACAGAGACAACCCTCGGTGGCGCAAGCACCATCTGAGAGATTGCCGTTGGCGAACCAAGTTGAGAGGCAATGTGTGTGGCCACCATGACCACAGAGCGGACACCACGTCCAGAGCGTTGTATTGAGACCCGAGAGGTTCTCAGGGGTTGAGGGGCTGATCTCACTTCCCTCAACGTCTGTGTCTAACCTCAACTGGTCAGATTGTAGAGAAGATCTCTTCCTGCGATGTGTGGTATCTTTATGAGCATGACGGTGCTTTGCTTTGAGTTTCTTCTTCGTGGCCGGCTCAAAAGCCGGAAACCGAGCCCAGCAGATTGGACACGGCGCTTGCGCCCTTTTGCAGGTCTCGCACCGCATCTTGTCCTTGGGATTGTTGATGGGGGACTTGCAGCTAAGGCATAGCAGTCCCAACTGAGTGTCTTTGAGGGCTTGTTCATATACTGCGGGGTACGTAGGATACGAGAGACGACGTAGCGAAGCTGCAGAGTTGAAGAGCGAAAGGCTATGAAGCTGATCATGGTAAGTGTACAAGATGGCCTCGGCTTGGAACGGATTGATTCCTGTGGTGAGCACGTGACTAAGCTGAGTCTTTACGATGGTCTGCACTTGCGCAGGGCTCATGCCCATGGAAGAAAGAACATCGGAGAAGTGAGCCAAAATATCTGTAGCATCAGTCCTGGACTGGGTTTGCGATAGTAATGGCGCGAGCAACAGGACCAGCAAGGAAGATGTCTGCGCATCGGATAAGGTACGCGTGTGAAATGCCAAGATGTTCTCCAGTAAGCCGATGACGGTGAACGCCGCCCCTTGTTCCGCGTCAACATGGAAAGCCTGGAAATCTGACAACAGGAGCGGGTCCTCGGCACTTGATTCAAGCTGCGCAGGAGCCCTCTGCGGAAGATGCGGAGCTGGGATCGATTTCCGGGCTTGTGGGGATACAGTCTTTTCGTGGAATTCAGGAACAATCGTTCCGCTCGCCTCCATTTCAGGATTGTATTCGGGTGAGGAAGCTAGAACACCGTCCCTGGTGCTTGATAGTACCTCAGATTCGGAACTATCGTGTCGGAGAAGCTGGTTGTTCCTGCGAAGGGTTGCAATCTCCAACGCTGCGTGCTCATTGCTGCCGTGGTCGGTTGCAAGGCTGGAGCCAGCACGGGCCGAACCTTGCTTGAAGACTTCGCGCGGCTTGCCGGGTCCAATATAGCCTGCGCCAAGGGCATTATTTTTGGGTGATATAGACAGGCTCGTAGCCATGTTAGCAGTATCCAGAGGGGGTTGTTCCGTTGGCCTTGGCTTCCCAAAGCTGGAGCCTGGGCGTCCGAGCGGGATATCCTCAGGAATGGACTGCATACTCGGATTGTGTGATCTACCACTTGCAAATGAGCTCGACGCAGAGGGAGCCGTCTGCGAATCGGTTGAAGCCGAGAACATGGCAAAGCTCTCGCCCGAGTCATGTCGGTCCAGTCGATGTGGTATGTCGATGCCCATCCCTCTCGCACTGGAAGGTTCCAGGCGGAGCGGCTCCCGGGGCACTGCCCTCCAACTGCCGATCAAAGCCCTACGTTCGTCCAAATCCCGCGGCGAGTTGTACCATGGCGATGCGTCGAAGGTGAGGCGATCGGGAGCCAGCGAGCCATTCGAAGCACCTTGGGCGAGCGAGGCCTCCGCTGGGCCCAAGGAATGGGGTCCAGTGGCCGGTGGCGGTAGCTGGACCTTGCCGTCATCCTCGTCGGGGTCTGGTAGTGGATGCAGCTGCTGTGCACTACTACTAGAAGCTGCTTCCGGGCTCGTAACAGGACGTGCGACGGGCGTGGGCACGTTGGAGGTACTGGCAACTGCACTGCTGGTAGGAGGTGGATGTGCACCCTGCTGTGACTCGGTAGCGCAGGGGACCGGGCGTGGAGGGACGGTGAGGGTGAGGGACGACGTGTTGTTGTCGCGTGCTGGCAAAGGCACATCGGACCCGATTTGGGGCGCGGCCTCATTATTAGCCTCATTAGCCTCATGAGACGCCACGGATGCGGATGCGGGGTATGTCGTCTCGTGCGTGCGTCGGTGCTGTCTGTGCTTCTCTGCGCGTCGCCTAGCGAGAAAGGTGACGGCCCTGCCAACGATTTTCCAAGTCTCAGCCAACCTGTGGAGTGCGGCTCTTTGTGCATACTCGGCATTCTGATCGAAGGCATGTTGGAGATCGAGAAAGGCCCGCACCGTGGGCGGGTCGGGGAGCGCTATCGCCTTGTATTTTTGAGCCAGGTAGGCGAATATCTGGACATTGAATGCGCCGGGCAAGGTCCCGCGAACCGCAATCTGGTTTGGCTTCAACGATTCATTGTGCATTGCCAGAGAGTCCGTGAGGAACATGACCTTGGGTGCCGTCTCGGACGGAGCAGTGGTCCCGAACGACCTGGTCGATCTGCTACTTGCCGTGCGACCATGGCTCTTCTTCAGCGACGAGCTGAGGAAGCTGTCGTCCAAGCTATCGTCTGCGGAGCTGCGAAGGCTAGTCTTTTCCGAGCTACTGCGCTTCTTCCCCAGATACGTGTCGTCGGAGGAATAGTCGAGGCCCGCGCGCCGCTGCCGGGGTCGCTTCTGTACGACGGCAGCAAGCTCCCCCGTTGGCGACAGGGCAAAGGACTGCAGATTGCGGCGGTCAACCACCTTTGCCGCATGATGGACGTCATTCTGCTGAAACACGCCCTCCCGGCCAACGGTCCAAAGGGTGTCGCGTGAGTGCCAGAGCATGTCGGCAGGGGCGCTGGCGAATTTCTGTAGCTCTCGGAACGGCAGATACGGCCGTCGCAAGTCCCAGACGTGGATGGCTGGGTGATCCCGATCATAGGACGTGGCGATTTGGGTGCATTGATACACTCCCTTTTCGTAGTATTCGTCGGACCAGTAGGGTGGTCTCCAGCGGGCCTTGTAGACGGGGTAGGGCGTGGTCAAGACGAATGCCGGCTTCTGCCGCCTCCCATCCAGCGAGAAATCCCAAAGCTTGACCGTCTTGTCGACGCTGGCGCTGAGCAAGTGCTTGCCATCCGGGTGCCAGTCGATGGATGTGCAAGTGCGCTGATCGTGGGCCGTGACCTTCTGTTTCGGGCCCTTTGTGTGGCGGAAGTCCCAACGCTGGATGGTTCCATTATCGGTGCCAAAGGCAAACTCGAGGGCGTCTGTGGGACACCATTGGACATCCCGGATGCCGCCATTCATACCGACGAATTGATTTCTGCTGCGACAGGTCATGGCTTCCTTTCGGAAGTCGCGCAAGTCCCATAGGCGAACGGTGGCATCGTGGCTAGCGGAGAGCAGCAGAGCGCCCTGGTGAGGATTAAAGGCAAGCTTGTGGACCTGACGGGTGTGCTCGTGCAGGCGGGCCATCTCCATGCCGGCACGATTGAGATCGTACAGAATCACCTTGCCATTGGCGGCGGCAGTTGCAATGTGGGTGCCAAACGGGCCGTGAGACCACTTCACGTCATGAACCCCAAGGCCGTCGCGCTGGCGAGCAGGTGTGGTGGTTCGGTCTGCATAGTTGAGGATGGCGGCGCGGAGATTGGTCTCCTCGACGATCTTGGCGCCTTGCACGCGCACTGTCTTGAGGATCTCCTTGCCGGCCAGGATGGCGTGGGTACGCTCACGGTTGATGTCAAGGGCCGAGATCTCCAGGCCCGTTTTATGGCTGGCGTCTTGCGACGAGCCAGTCCGGGCACTGCACGGGGGGGTTAGGATTTTGTCAGATGCGAACGTGAGTGGCACAGATGTTTTACGAGCCCGAAATTGCAGCGGAAGAACAAACGGCGAAGGCAAAGCAGAGGACACTGCTCGGTAATGGGACGGATTGGTATGCAGATGCAAGATGCAAGATGCAGCAATTGGCAGGGGGGGAATGAAACGAGACTCTCAACTTACTCGGGCAGCCTTGGGACCAGTGGGTTCGGACGGCCGCCATGGGGATGGTTTGCCTGAGCAGAGGGAGGGCGCGAGCCATAGGCAGTCGTCAGAGGCTGGGTCACGAAGCGCGAGAAGTAGGACGTTTTGGAAGGAGGCAGTGGCGGCGGTGGGGGGATACTGGAGGGGGGGAAGAAGGAAGCCGGTTGCTGGTCAGCCATGATGACGAAGATGGCGAGGGAGGGAGGCGACTATCGAGGCATCATTCTGAGAGTCTGCAGCAGGGCAGAGGCAGAGGGAGAGGCAGAAGGAGTTGCAGCAGCAGCAGGGGCAGCATGGCAGCTGCAATTGATTTGATGCGTTGGAGAAGCGGTGAGACCAAGTGCTCTCTGGTGAGGTACCGGTCCTTTGAAGGTGCTGCTGTGGAGACAGCGGGAGCGGGAGCGGGAGCGGTGTCGGGGCCCTCGTCGGATTCGGGATGCCGCAGGGAGAGAGGGAGACGGAGAGGGGGGGCAGGCAGCTGAGGGCGTGTGTGAGTGAAGGGGATGAATGAATGGATGTGATGATGATTGACCTGCTGCGCTGAGGAGTACCTAGGTACGGAGTAGAGTGAGGAGGGAGGGGGTGTTGGATGTGCAGTGCAGGGTTCGGATGCAAGTTACAAGTATGGGGAAGCGGATGCGGTTTGTTTGGTGCAGCCCTGGAGGTGGGTGAGGTGGGTGCTTGCGAGGGCCAAGGCGCCAAGGGGCCAAGGAAAGCCAAAGCGTGGTGGAGGTGCAGGTGGCAGGTGGTGTGGCTTTTCCGAGGGCATGGGCAGGAGCGACCACGGACCACGGACCACGGACCACGCGACGCATCCACCATCATCCCGCCAAGGGCAGGAGCGACGAGGATCAACTGGGCCCAGAACAGAATCATCAGCCTCCCCGGTCGGTCCATACACAGTATACTATACTCTACACAGTACCCCGTACCCTACCTATTTCCTCTCCCCCTCCCCCTCCCCCTCCCCAGATGGACCTCGATGGACCTGGACCTGGATCCGTGGACTTGAATTGGACGGACCTGCATCCAACTACTGCCAATGGCCGCCTCTCCTTGACCACACCTACTCCTACACCCTACACCTACACCTGCACCTAACACTTCCGTCCATCTCCATTCCCTTTTCCTCCCCTCCTCCCTCTTCCCTCCTCCCCTCGTACGACGCCGTCGTTCGTTGGGTGAGGGTCGCTATTTACCTGTGAGCTGCTGCCTCGTCCCTCGTCCCACTGCCTGCCGCATGCTCACGCAGCAGACACAAACAAAACCTGCACCATGGCCGCCGCACCACCACCTCACTCGTCGGCCGACTCCGACTGGGAGCGCCGAAATGCCTCCCTCGATGCCGCCGTCGCCGTGCTGCACTACGCCTATCCCATCCTTATGCTCTTCTTCTTCCTCGCCGCTTTTACTGCCCGCAGCATCATCGTCTCCAACGCAACCTCAAAGGTCGCGAAGCCCACCACCACCGGTCCTGGCGGCAAACCTCTGCCCGCCACCGATCCCACCCGTAACTTTGTCAAGAAACACGTCGCCGACGATGTCACCCCCTCCCAGAAGCGCCTCTTCCAGTGCCTGTCCCTCGCCGTCGCCCTCACCTTCGTCGCAAACTCCATCAACGTCATTGTGCACGCTCTCTACGCCCGCAAGGACAACTGGTGGTGCGGCAAACACGTCGTCGTAGGCCCTGTGCCCCTGCCCGTCTCTTGCCCAACATGCTGACCACACACCCTCTTCTCCAGATTTACCTCGTAGGCGCCTTCTTCGTCTACTGCCTCTACCTCATCACCCTCTTCGACTCGAAGCCGAGCCCCACCATCGCCCACCTCTCCACATGGGCCCTAGCTACCGTGCTGGAGCTTGTCCTCCTGGCCTGCTCCATCGCCATCTACACGCATCCGCACAGGGAGCCCGCCGTCGATCCCCCGGAACCCAAATGGCGGACACGCATGACCGAGTGGGAGATGGCCGAGGTGGCTGCCGACCTGCTGCGCATCCTTTTGCTGCTGGCTCTCATCGCATTCTACTACCTATTCGTCACATGCCCTCAGCGACGGAAGAAGCACGAGGCTGGCAGTGCAGCCGAGACGCAAGCCCTGCTCGGTGGCGAACGCGACGGTCACGGCCACGCCGAAAACGGTCACGCGGCCGAGTCGTATGGTTCGCTCCCAAGCGGAAATAGGCCAAAGCATTCGCACTCGGAGGGCCCCCCTCCGGCCTGGAGTCGCCCCACGGGCGCACCGTCGCGCAGCTGGTGGGAGTATCTCAAGGGCTACCGCGTCTTCTTCCCCTACCTCTGGCCCTCCAAGGACCGCCGCCTCCAAATCGTCGTCATAGTGTGCTTCCTGATTGTCGTATGTCAGCGCATCGTCAACCTGTTGGTTCCCGACCAGATTGGCAAGATTGTCAACACCCTCGCCGGCGACAGGGAGGGCAATCCCTGGGTCCTGATCGTCGTCTTCATCTTCTTCCGCTTCATACAGGGCAACAACGGCCTCCTGGGCGCCATCCGATCCACCCTCTGGATTCCAGTCGGTCAGTACTCGTACCGCGAATTGTCAGTCGCCGCTTTTGAGCATGTGCACAGCCTCAGTCTGGATTTCCACCTCGGCAAGAAGACGGGCGAGGTCCTGTCGGCACTGGGCAAGGGAAGTTCCATCAACACGTTTCTGGAACAGGTGACCTTTCAGGTCGTCCCCATGTTCATCGACCTTGGCGTCGCCATTGGCTACTTTCTGATCAAGTTCGACGCCTATTATGCTCTCGTCATCTGCATCGTCACCTTCTGGTACTTTTACCTCACCATCCGCATGGCCCAATGGAGAGCTGAAATTCGCCGAGAGATGGTCAATGCCGACCGAGAGGAGGATGCCGTAAAGAACGATTCAATGGTTTCGTACGAAACCGTCAAGTACTTCAACGCCGAAGCGTACGAGTTCAACCGCTACCGCGCCGCCGTGAATAAATTCCAAAAGGCCGAGTACAAGGTTCTGCTTTCGTTGAACCTGATGAACATCTCACAGAATATGGTCTTCATGCTAGGTCTCTTGGTGACGTGCTTCATTGCGGCCTACCAAGTGACGACAGGCCAGATGAAGGTCGGCAGGTTTGTCACGCTCATCACGTACATGGGCCAGCTGCAGAGTCCTCTCAACTTCTTCGGCACCTTCTACAGGATGATCCAATCGGCAATGATCAATTCGGAGCGCATGCTTGAGCTGTTCAAGGAGCAGCCCACCGTCGTGGATAGAGAGGGCGCCGGGGAACTCCCCTCGTGCGAGGGCGATCTCCGGTTCAGCGACGTGCATTTCTCGTATGACAATCGGAAGCCGGCCCTCCAAGGTCTCGATTTCCACTGCGCCCCTGGAACGACGACTGCCTTTGTCGGGGAGTCCGGTGGAGGCAAGTCTACCGTCTTCCGTCTGCTCTATCGATTCTACAACACGTCGTCTGGGAGCATAGAGGTTGATGGCCGCAACGTCGAGGATCTGACCATCGAGTCCGTCCGCAGGCACATTGGTGTAGTGCCGCAGGATACCGTGCTGTTCAACGAATCGCTGATGTACAACCTCAAGTATGCCAATCCCGAGGCGACCGACGAGCAGGTCTATGAGGCCTGCCGTGCGGCCTCGATCCACGACAAGATTATGACGTTTCCGGACAAGTACGAGACCAAAGTTGGCGAACGAGGCCTGCGTTTGTCTGGCGGAGAAAAGCAGCGTGTCGCTATAGCTCGCACGATTCTGAAGAACCCCCGTATCATCATGCTCGACGAGGCCACGGCCGCGCTGGACACGGAGACTGAGCAGCACATCCAAGAAGCGTTCACCACGCTTGCCAAGGGACGCACGATGCTCATCATCGCACATAGATTGAGCACGATTGTCCATGCCGACCAGATCCTGGTTCTGCATCGAGGCAAGGTCGCCGAGCGCGGTACGCACGAGGAACTGCTCGAGAAGAACGGGCACTATGCGGCCATGTGGAAGAAGCAGATTCGTGCCCAGCGTGCGGCCGAGCAAGCCAAGATCCTGAAGGACAAGGCGGACCGACTACGCCGAGAAAGCAAGGATGGGACCATTGGGTCCGACGACGGCAGCAGTAGCCCAGACAGCTCCACTTCCAGCTCCGACGACGAACAAGGGAAGAAGGCACGTTCAAGCACCGACTCGAAGCGGCCGCGCAGCAGCTACGGTAATAGTAGCAAGCCTGCAGGCCATCCATGATGCATGAAGCATTCATGATGCTTTTCGCGGTTCCCCCCAGGGCTCCGGTCAGAATGGAGTCGCATTACCGTACCAGTGTACAAGACGCGTTTTCAGTCTTTCTTCATGTCGTTCGGAAACGGCCAGACGTTGTTTAGCGATGTTTTACACGTTGTCACGTTTGTTAAGATTCCTCCCATCTACATGCCCACGGGACATGAGGAAGGGCTTGGCGGCATTGTTCGATATGGCGTTCTGCGAATGTGGTCATGTTTCGTTTATCTTCTTTTTTTTTTCTCCCCTCCTCTTCTTTCCACTTTTCCGCCTTCCTTCCTTTTTTGGATCACAGCTCATGTTCATGAGGGCCTCGGTTTACATACTTCATACGTCGACTTTACCTTTTAGCCCGATAATCACGTTAATTTGCAAGCGAGGACAGGTGTTGGAGAAGTGGGCGGCTGTGTGTCTGGGCGACAATAGACATGGTGGGCGGTTGTTTTGTCTTCGTATTCCTTTTTCTGGCTGTCATGGTGGATGGGGACAAAGCGTGTTCCCGGTGTGCATAGGGTGGTCAGGAGAGGAGGAGGGTAGACTAAGACACATGGAGGACGCTTGGGGGAGGAGCAGCATGACAAGTAAAAACGGGGTTTACGGGAATGGATGGACATTTTCTAGTTGGATATGTAGGTATGGCTTCTCGGAAGAGGAAGGCAGCAAAAATAAAGGTCGGGGAGGAACAAGTTGTGTGTGTTGCGAATCAGAGTGAGGTCGTTCCCTCGTCCAAGGGGAAAGAAGGGAATGGTGTCGTTGTCACGCAGGAGAGAACATTGAATAGAATGACTGCATCCTACAGGGCCCACGCCAAACCACTAGCACTTGGCTTCTATGCGGGTACGTTTGCTCGTCCCGAGGTCATGGCCGGGTACATTGGCCCGTATCCGAACTGAGAAGGGGGAAAAGGCGAATGAGAGGCAGCTCACGTACCTAGCTGCAGTGGGCCAATTTGCCATTCATGGTGATCTATGGATGGCAGCTACGGCATCGTCAAATTTCCTCTTTCGAGGTATAACGTGCAGAGAGGTGCATATGTATGGTCCCGAGGACCAGGACGACGCCACGTTTGCGGGGGATTCTGGTTTTGGCGGAGTGGCGGGTTCCGGGGATGTGGGCCTTGGGACCAAGTCGTGTGTGCATGGGACAATTAAGGTTTCGATGGAGGTTTGCTTGGGTGCTCTACTGTATGTAGCGTGTGGAGGAGGAAGAGCGGAGATGGCACAGGATGGAGGTTGGGGAGGGGGGGAAGACACACCGCCATTCTGCAGAGAGGCGACATGGCTGCCCTGGGAAACAAAGGAGGATGCAAAACCAAGACGGGAAGTAGGTATTTTTGTACACATTCCACATGCAAGGCGACTCTGCTGCGAAAGAATGGCTGCTGCTGCTGCGGTTCCGGTGAGTTGTCTGTTGTGTGCACAGACAACTGAGGAGTGGTTCAAGGTCCCAACGGTGTGGATTTTGACGAGTCAGGCGCTGGGCATGGCTGGCGGAGAGCTGAATCATGCATGGGGGACTGGACTATGGGCTAGCTGGTTCATACTGATTACAGTATTGCGGCACAGCAGAAGGCCCATCCGATTACGATTACTGTACGATCCATCTGGCCGCTACCGACGGCCTGGAAAAGGGAATCGTCAGCCGTTCAGATCTACTCCGTACCACACCTTACTCAATCTTGTTGGAACGAACCGCAGCGTCGGGACCGTGGGACCCCGTCGACATGTCTTCACCTCTTGGTACTTGTACTTGTATGTACTGTGGACAGAGAGGGAGACGACTCCCATCTGTCTCGATCACCGTTTCTCGTCGCAATCATGAATGCCACCTACTCTTCGTGCACCAAGGAAGCTCTGGCCTTGTTGGGGCCTGCGGAGTCATGGTCCCTTCGCCAACAAGCGAAGGCTGGGAGTGGGAGGCATTCATCCGCGCCATCGCCCATTGGCCTAGTTATCTACGGAGTACGGAGTACCACGCAAGAAGACATTCGGGTGCTTCACCCCTCTCTCGCACCTCCCCTCCCACCAACTGCCCTCTCTGTCATTCTTTGTGAGATTTGCACAACAAAACCTGTCGTGGCGCCCCCTTGTCCTCATCCCACCGGCCGTATGGTACTTTCCGAACCGCCCGCCATCTTCTTTATTTGATCGCTTTCGTATCTCTACATGGCTACTGTACATGTTGTACTACTGTACTTCGGCTAGCTGGTTCCGCAAGCAGCCGTTGGTTGGTTGGTTGGTTGGTTGGGTGGGGAGAGGTAGGCCCCCTGGTTTGTCGGAGAATTGCACATCCCCCCAGCCCCAGCCCCAACCGTCTTCTGGGACCGCCGACCGACCCAGCGCTGTGGTTACTTATAAACTGGTGGGCTTTTCCTCTTTTCCTATTCCTGTGGTACTACTCCTGTTCTACTGTCTAAGTGGGTAGCTGGCTGGCCCATCCTTACGGAAACCCCCCCCCAAAAAAGCCCCGACAAGCTGGGAGAAGCCCACGAGCTGGTATACCCCCTTATGCCTTGCTGGTGGCTAGGCTAGACCTCTTGCTGCTGAACACCGTTACCGAGCGACCGGATCTGACCTTGGACGTTGCAATCATCATTTGGAAGAGACGGTTTGGGAAAGCATGCAGAAGATGCCGTTGGAGGAACCTAGTATCGCTGTCGTATGTTTGTTTGCTTTCGTCTCATCTCCCCTCGGACCATCGTGCCATCTGCCTCTCGCCTGCCCTCCACCCATGTTCGAACAATGCCAAAACGTGTGGTTGACGCTCCGCTCCTAGGATGCTTCGTACAACACCTACCGCGACGAAGACGACGACGACCGCTTAACCTATACTTCGTACGTCTCTCGCCGTGCCAAACACCCAGCAATGACCGGCCTGCTAATGCGACATAGCGGCCAGTCGCTGGCAACCCATGTGACTCGCTACAGGTACGAGAATGGCCGGCGCTATCACGCTTACCGTGAGTCCACACCACCAACCCCTATCGTCTCCCACGTCAGCGGCTGATGTGCCCATAGGCGAGGGGACGTATTACGCTCCCAATGACGATAAATATGCTAGCTACGAGACCATTGTGTACGTGCATCTGCCTTGGCGCTGCCATACTCGTGGAGCAGATGATCAGTACGAGGAAGAGCTGCCACTGACTCGCACTCTAGACACCATCTTTGGCTCCTCACGCTGCACGATAAACTCTTCCTCGCCCCTATCCAGGACCCGCAGATGATTCTCGATGTCGGCACCGGCACTGGGCTCTGGGCCATGTACGTTCAATTCCCTTGTTACTCTGGGACGGCTCGAGTGCTGACGGAAACAGAGACATGGCCGACTACTTCCCCTCGGCAGAAATCATAGGTACATCTCCCAAGATTCTCCTCCGCCAACCCATCTCCCGCTCCCTCTTCGCATCAACAATCGACGACGGCAAAGGTATCGTTCTTCTAACAATCCCCCAGGAACCGACCTCTCCCCCATCCAGGCCACGACCGCTCCTCCCAACATCCGCTTTGAAGTCGATGATGCCAGTGCCGAGTGGACCTACCCGGAGAACTCGTTTGACTTTGTCCATGTGAGGGGCTTGACGGGCTGTATCCGCGATTGGCCCTATCTCTATCAGCAGGCATACACGTGAGTCTTGTCTTCCTCTTCTTGTCGCTCCATCCTCGACTAACACTCCACCCAGGCACCTCAAGCCCGGCGGCTACTTTGAGCACCTCGAATTCAGCATCGAGACCAATGCGGATCCCAACTCGGACAACTACGCCGACAAAATGTACACGTCCTTCGCCAACAGCATCCTCAGCATCGGCGAGGAAAAGACGGGCATGAGCTTCCGCACCGTCGAGCGGATGAAGGGCTACATGGAGGGTGCGGGTACGTTCCCACTGGTTGCTTCTTCATCATATGTAGACCTTGCACCATAAAAGTAAAAAAAAAAAAGAAAAGAAAAGCAGACCCTGACGCAACATCCGCAGGCTTCGTAGACATTGTCGAGCAGAAATTCATCTGGCCCATCGGGCCCTGGCCCTCAGACCCCCACCTCAAGGACATGGGGCGCTGGGGTGAGCGCAACTGGGCCGACGGCCTCGAGAGCTGGGTCCTGGCTCTGTACACGCGTGTTCTGGGGGTGAGTCCATTCCAATCCCACTTCGCTTCCCTCCCGTTGCCAACATCCGTAACCTATTAACACTCGATTCCTGCAGTGGACGTACGCCGAGGTTCAGCGCTTCGTCGCCGAGTTCCGCGCCGTCATCAAGGATCGCCGGAACCACTTTTACCACGAGGTGCGCTGCGTCTACGGGAGGAAACCGCTTCCGGGCGAGGAGGTGCAGCAGAGCGGGAGCGCCGAGGGGCCGACGGAAAATTGACAGAGAGTTGAGAGGGAAGAAGGTGGTGGGACGCAAAGCAAAGGAACGTTAAAAAGAATGACATGCTTCCAGATACCCGGACAGCTTCTATCTAACGACCATTTCACGATTTGGGGCTACCTGGGTGCCCAGGTGGGTAGATGTGGTGGTGGGTATTTTGTTGTTTGGCACGGATAATAGATCTGTAGCCGCCCGTCATGACCATCGCATTAAAATCTACCACGCTTCCCTTCACCGCCCCTGTCTTCACTCTCTCGTGCCGCATCCCATCCGGCACCATCAGTTCAATGTTGCACATGTCGGCACGGAATGTGCTGCCTGGCCCAACGCCACCGTCTATATCCCTGACTTTGGTATTCGCTACAAGTACACCACGGTAGGTATGCGCACTCTACTCGTCCATATCCACGTCCTCGCCTTTCGCCTCCTCCTTCGCTTTCGGCGTCGACTTGGGCACTGACGCCTCCTTGTCGATCATCTGCCGTGATACCGACACAATGTTGTCTTCAATGAGCTGCTGGCCCAAATCTTCGAGGTCTGTCCATCATGAATCAGTAGCTCGCACCTAAAGGCAGCCGAGGGGCAGTATCGACTCACGCTTCTTCGGATCCACCTTCCCCACATATCTCGTCTTGAGTTGCTCCTTGGTCAACTCCGTCTCCTCCTTCACCCGCTTCTCGTACCCCTCCGCCAGGCTGACCAGCTTCTTCAGCCTCTCCTTATTCCTCTCCCCCTCTTCCCTGAAATCCTCCATTAGAAGCGCCTCCGTCCACACATGCTTGTGCAGGTTCATGAGCATATTCTCCTCCAACGCCGTCTTCCTGTAATTGATCCCAATCGAGTAATAGTGCCGATTCAGCCCGTGGATCAGCGCCTGTATTGACGGCTTGTTCAGGTGTCCAACGTTGGACGTCGTTTGCCGCGGTTCCTGTCCCATCATGGTGGTTTGCATGTTTATGAGGCGGAAGGCATCGATGACGACTTTTCCCTTGACGGATTGGATCGGGTCGACGACGACGGCGACGGCGCGCGGGGTGAGCTGTTCGAAGGATTGCTGCGTGTTGATGTCGACGGACGAGAGCCAGCAGCCAAAACCCGGGTGAGAGTGGTACCAGCCTACTACCGTTTCTTGTCTGGACGGCGTTTGTCAGCTGAGTTGCGAAGGAGCGTGGGTGGCGGGGATTGAACAGCCAGAGGGATAGAGGGTAATTACCTCCCCGTTTGCCTCAGCATATCCATCATCTTCGTCTGGAACACCGGATCCACGGCCTCAACCGACACGCCCGTCCCGGACTGCGGCATGGCAAACACATCCACGACTCTGACGGTGTAGTCGTCCACGAACTCGCCCAGCATCAGACCCATGACCTCCATCGGTACACCTGCCCGGCCATGCCGTAGCATCTTGAGGAGCGCGAGCGACGATATGTACACGGTTTCGGAGTTGTCGATTAAGTTGCTGTCTTGCGCGGGTCCGCCGCCCAAGGCGCCCATACCGCCCATACCTTGGAGCATGCGACTTAACCGGTCCATGGCGGTATTCTGTGAGGTGAAGGTTGCAGAGTCAAAAGGAAGATTGGGGAAGAAGAAAAGGGGACGTGGGAATGAAGCGAATCAGCGGTAATAAACGCAGGTAGCAAGCTGAAGGCGGTGATGGAGCTCTGGCGTTGTCGGAGCTTGCGCGAGCACCAGCCGCCTGTTCTCGGCCACATATTCTCCCGCTCCCGACGGTAAATCCTCGGTAGACAGGGGTCTTTACTTCCGTGGTGCTTCCGAGTTGTACTCGAAGCTGCTGCGTTCATCTTTCATTGTTCGTCGACACTCAAGGTTCTCCTTCATCCTTCATTCACTTCCGGACTGCCACTCTACTCCCGTCGCTCTTGAGCTCCTGTCTGAATAGCGTTTTACTTCGACGCCATTCACCATGGCTTCTGACGGGGCAGCCACCATGGACCCTGTGACCAACGGATCCTCGTCCCAGCAAAGGAAGGTCGCCTACTTCTACGACTCGGACGTGGGTAACTATGCCTATGTTGCGGGTCATCCCATGAAGCCGCACCGTATACGAATGGCGCATAGCCTGATTATGAATTATGGACTTTATACAAAGATGGAGATCTACGTACGTTCTCAAGATTTCCCAACTGCGCAACTGCGCCGCCGCGCGGCCAGAAGGTGATGTTCCAAGGCTAACGTACTCCCAACACAGCGCGCGAAGCCCGCTTCCAAGTACGAAATGACACAGTTCCACACGGATGAGTACATCGACTTCCTGTACAAGGTCACGCCCGACAACATGGACAATTTCGTGAGGGAACAGAGCAAGTACAATGTCGGCGACGATTGTCCTGTGTTCGATGGACTGTTCGAATTCTGCGGTATCAGCGCGGGCGGCACCATGGAGGGGGCGGCTCGTTTGAACCGTGGAAAGTGCGATGTTGCAGTCAACTGGGCCGGAGGTCTGCATCACGCGAAGAAGAGTGAAGCTAGTGGCTTCTGCTATGTTAACGACATTGTTCTTGGTATCATCGAGCTACTCCGGTACAAGCAGCGCGTGCTGTACATCGATATCGACGTTCATCATGGTGACGGTGTCGAGGAGGCATTCTACACCACGGACCGTGTCATGACCGTTTCCTTCCACAAGTATGGAGAGTACTTCCCAGGTACCGGTGAGCTGCGCGACATCGGTATCGGCGCTGGAAAGAACCACTCCGTCAACTTCCCGCTCCGCGATGGCATCACCGATGCGACATACAAGAGCGTCTTCCAACCTGTCATTCGGGCGGTTATGGATTACTACGGCCCTGAGGCAATTGTCCTGCAATGCGGTGGAGACAGTCTGTCGGGCGACAGATTGGGCTGCTTCAATTTGAGTATGGAAGGACACGCTAATTGCGTCAAATTCGTGAAGAGCTTCGGTGTGCCTACCATCATTCTGGGAGGTGGCGGGTATACTATGCGCAACGTTGCGCGTACGTGGGCGTTCGAGACCGGAACACTCGTCGGTGCCGAGATGTCGAAGCAGCTCCCTTACAATGACTATTACGAGGTATGCGTGCTTTTCCGATACGCTTTCACAGTTACTAACTTTCCTAGTACTTCGCCCCTGATTATGAGCTGGATGTCCGTCCTTCTAACATGGAGAATGCAAACTCGCCGGATTATTTGAATAGGATCATGAACACCGTAATCGAGAACATTCGGCGGACCGGCAAACCCTCGGTGGAGGCCTTCCAAACGGTGCCAGAAAACCCATTGACGCGGGGGATGGAATCTGACGATGAAGACGAGGAGGATGACCTTGACGTGGATCAACACCCGGATCAGCGCGTGACCCAGCGCCAGCGGGATAAGATGATTGCCAAAGACAACGAGTTCGAGGAGAGCGATGACGAAGAATACAAAGCCAGCCTTGGTGTGCGGAGACAACCTGGCGAGACCCGACGGCGGGGCATCATGGCGTTCCAGAACCCGCATGCTCTCCCTGACGAGATTGAGGACGAGGCCCCACGCACCATGAACGGCGAAAGCGGCAGGGTGGCAGGCCAAGCCAGCCCTGGCCCAGCAAGCCGCGCCTCATCGGCAAGGCCGGCTACTAATGGTGCAGGTGCCGCGAGCGCCGCAGCCGCAGACGAAGATGGAGACATTGAAATGGACGATGAGACGGCCGCTGAGCCCGCCACTACCGTCGCCGGAGCCGCCGGCCCTTCCACGGCACCTGTACAAGCAACACCTGCCGCCCTCCATAGGGATATTTCACCGGCTGGCGTTGTTACGCCGCCCGAGTCGCCACCTGCACAGCCTCAAGCAGCGGGAGCACCTGTTGCTTCTAGTGCCTCCGCTGCTCCTGCTGTTGCATCTGAGGACGTAGATATGGATGAGGGAGGCGACGAGGACGAAGATCGTGCTGAAGAAATACAAAGGGAGAAGGATGAAGGTCTAAGAGAACGGGAGGAAGAAGACGAGCGAGCAGAAGCGGAGATGGAGGCTAAGCTAGAGGAAGAGGCAGAAAAGTAGATCTCACCATGTCATTCCCCATTCTCCATTGTTACAATCACCGGTAGGTTTGGACGGGCTGGTAGGCATGGGCAAGGCGTTACTTCGCGTCTATTGGCTTTGGAATATGAGAATCCGGTTTGCGGTGTCTCCGCGCTTCTTCCGGCGTCCCTGGGTCAAGGATACCTCTTTTCTGTTTATGCTGGTTTCTATCGTTTTCCCATTGTATGTTGCGTCCTTTTGGGACCTCAAGAACATTTCAATCTACATAATTTCCCTCTGGAGATAAACATATGTCAACCAGGGCTTATTGGCTATCTCCATCGTTTCCTTCATTGCTTCCTTCATGCTGTGGAGTTGATTTGCTTTTCGTGCTTGCATTCTGCTCACAGGGGAATGTAGATACTTTTGGCTTACAGCTGTACGGCGCCAAAGCCCGAGAGGTAACTGCCTGGGGGACTGCATGCCGCAACACGAGATTGTGCTTGGTGTTCACCTTTTCGATCCGTAGATTGTCGGTTCGATAGCAGGTTCTCATGTAGGTGAGCGAGGCTGAACTGCCTCCTGAAGAGCGGCTCCCATCGCCCTTGATGTTCCCATGGTTGTTGCCCTTAAGATTTGGTATCCTGGCTTTGGAAACCCCGCCCTTATTACTGCAGCACACTTGACTCTGGATCTGGGGTCGGGGACGTAGCGGCATGTGCCAGCCTTGTCAAGACTTGTACCAGCGTTGTCGAGGTCTTGCAGGACTTGAAAGAGAGGTATACAAAAAAGCAAAACTATACAATTTTTTCCATGATTGAGGAATGCGTCAATGTTCGGTTTGCTTGGACTGCTCTTGTGCAGTGGGCAGGCTTAGGGTTCGCTGGACGTCAATCATGACCAGCCGCTATTGGAGCGGTTCCAACGCTCAGTATACACGGCATGGCTGTCTTTAAACGCTTTGGAGAATGACATAAACGAAGTTCCTCGAGAAGGACGCGAAACGACCGTCATCCTACTATTCCCTAGGCGGCTCAAGTTAGCGTGGAACACTGCCGTATTCTACGAACACCACACCGGATCAGAGGAATAAATGCTGCCCTCCAGCGTCTCTTGCAGGTCATCAGCGTGTAGATCGGTCGTCCGCACGGAAGCAAACACTCGAACCTCTCAAGCCACATAAGGAAGACCGCGCCGAAATCTTGTCTCCCAAAGGGCTGGCTTATCTTCACAAGAGGTGGACGAAAGCGTCCTGAGTGTCATACCTTCACGTATGTGTTCGCTCTTTCAAAATGGCTTTCTGAGCTGGACCGCGTGCGCTCCAGTATCAGAACTGCGGAAACAACTCAACAGTATGGACTTGCACTATGTTATCGTGGTATTTCACGAGGGATCATCACTTCCCTGGGTATATGTGGCGGTCGATGGCTACTCGACTAATGAAATTGGGTTGTCGATGAGTGGAACAAAACCTCCTCCTCCATTTCATCGCAGCAATCCGGTTCCTTCAACCTGGCCCGACGTACGATTAGCAGCTACTCACGCATCGAATGGAGGGCGAAGTCCCACTAGGAGATCCGCGAATGGTACCGCCGCCAGAAACAACAATGACCGTGTGTTGAGATACATGGCCCGTTGCCACTACGATATTGGAATGGCTAGTAGGCACAACCATCAAGTATCAAGTGAAAAGCAGTATATATTCTCTGCCCTTTCAAGCGCTCCCGCGTCCCCGCACCTGGCAGCTAGCATCGGAGTAGAAGAGCGTGCAGATCCTACACACACAACTGGACAACCACAAATCGTGAACAAGGGGTTCCTTCATAAACGCCTACTATGACATGATCAGGTCATAGAGACCACGAGAGAGGTAAAAGAGCAAGAGACAAAACAAAGAGGAGGATGGGCCAACCAAAGCCATATCGTAAGCATTCATAATCATGACCCAGAGATTGTGCTGCGCTGACAGTACAGATCTCGAAATCCCCCGAAGGTCTATCAACGTTCTAATCGTAGTCTCTCTCCTCTCCTCAGGTACCCCCTACTTGAACCTGTTGGCTAAGACCGCTTGGTGTTTGCGGTTTCTTTCGTCGTCCCAGCAACGTGGCGTTCTCGAGGCTCAGCTCAAATACGCCCTTATTTTTAACCTGACGCTTTGCGGCCGCGGCGACAGCGGGCGAGTGTTGCCCATAACCACGTTCCTGCTGAGCGGTCGACTTCTGACCCTGTCTCGCTTGTGCTGCTGATGAAAGTGTCGTGTTGCGCATTTTCTGTTCCATGGCCGATACATCTGCTGCATGGGACTTCGGAAGTTTGGCTGGGGGGTGTTGTTGTGCTGGATCATAGGGGGCCGATTCCGCGTGATACTCGTCGTCTTCGTCCTCGTCCAGAGGATTAAGACTGCTGACCGCATTTGCGCCGCGGTAGCCCTGCTTGAAGTTCTTCCTGCGCTTGCCCTCTTCTTCTTGTCGGTGCACTGCATACCCGACATCGAAGAGCTCGCGCAAGTTCACCGCCCCGGGGGAGCGGAAATCCATTCGCCGGGCACCAGGGGACTCGAGATAGGCAAAATTCTGCCTAAGGAGACCCTCCTCCTTGGCTTCCTGCTTCCGAAGAGGGGTGGCGAGAGGCGGTGCATCATGAGCCGGGTAGGTGATCTCATCCGCTTCTCGGATCCAGGGGTGGTCCAGGAACTGCTTGATGTCGTATCGCTTCTCAGGGTCCACCGTTAGAAGATGGCTAACGAGATCTTGTGCAGATTTCGAGATGTCATCCCACCATGGAGACAGGAAGGTGTATTGGCCACGCGCGACCTTCTCCGTCAGAGTCTGAATCGACTCGTCGTAGAAAGGCGGGAAGCCACAGAGCAGTGTGTAAAGGACGCATCCAAGCGCCCACATGTCGACGCTCTTCGAGTACCGTTCGTCCTTCACAATTTCGGGAGCAGTGTAGCCGACGGTACCGCATGGTGTCATTGTTTGGCTGTCCCAAATCACTTTGGAAAGACCGAAATCCGCAAGCTTGATGACACCGATACCACCAGCGCCTTTACCTTTGATGAATTCGCCTTCGTCGGCCTTCTCCTCATCATCGGGGCCCTTGGGCTTGGGATTCTTGGTGGGCACGAAGGGAATAGGGTAGAACAGGAGATTCTCTGGTTTGATATCTCTGCGATGACGTCAGGGCTCATTACGGGTCTGCCGATGCACTAGGAGGAAGACGTACCTGTGGACGACGCCTGCTTCTTCATGGAGGTACTCTAATGCTTTGGCTACCTGGATGATAACATGCCTTGAAAGGTTCTCGCTGAAGTAGGTCAAGCGAACGATCTGGTGGAACAGTTCGCCCCCTGGACACAGCTCAAGCACGATGTAGTAGTATTGCCGAGATTCCGAGAAGTCGATGAGCTTCACGATGTTGGGGTGGTCAAGCTGCCGCATGATTTGCACCTCCTTGAGAATATTCGCTCTCTGCACCGTCACAAGTCAGTCTCTGCCAATGTCGCTGAGGGGACGGTGGAACAGAATATGCTGGGAGCAGCGGTGCAAGCGCGCTTATAGGGTATCTGACCTCCGCTGCTTTGGGTCCTTTCTTGAAATCCGGATGAAGATGATCCTGTATCCACACCTCTTGTTGGCAACTTCTTCAAACACCATCCTCTCTCGGCGCGGTGGGGAGGGGAGCAAGAAGGAAATGGGTAGTTATGTGATGACAGCGGACGCATTCTGGGGGATACTGACCTGACTGGAGTTCATCTCGAACTTTCTGACGACCTTGATGGCCACCTCTCCCCATTGACCCTGGTTGTCTCTCGCCTTGTATACGTTGCTGAAGGCACCGTCACCCATCTTGTCTACCAGTGTCCATCTTTCGAGGCCAGGATACCGCGGGAGCTTTCCCTTGGCCTCGCGCTCCTCGGCAATGATGCGCTCCAGTACTTGTGGGTCCACTTTCCGGTCGCCGACGACGGCTTGCTTCTGCGCTTCTCGTTTCTGATTATCGCCAGCTGCCCGTGCAGCAACATCTCGTGCTTGCGCAGCGATGTTGCGGTTGTCAACAGCGGCTGCTGAGAAGTCACCGTGCCTAGCACCCTGGGTACCCTGCAGCGGCTGGTGTTCTAGGACGTTCGGATCGCTGATGACATAGTGCTGGGGAGGCGGGTGGTCGCCTTGGTTGTGCCGTTGCTGCTCCGCGTGTACGCCAGAAACGCCCGTGGTTGCTTCACCGTGGGGAGGATTCTGGCGTGCCTGCTTTCCGTGACGCAGGAAGTTCTTGAAATTCTGTATGGCGGCCATGGCTTAGTAGAAGTCGGTGGCAGGAGTCGGGATGCCGAATGTCGTCAGTATGGGCGCGGGGCATCAAAGAGGGAAAAATGCGGAGGGGGCGGGAGGAGGGAGAAGGGTGGTTATCAGTATGTAGTGCGTTCAGACTGCAAACGCGCAGTATTCGAAGAAGAAGGTATGTATAGCAGGGCCGTGACGGATAGCCGACTAGCAAGCGTAGAGGGCGGCGGGCTGCTCAAGTTGAAAAGGGTGGAGAGAGGGCTTTTGCGGGCGTGAATGTGGAGTGAAGGAGGTGAACAAGTGCTTGCAGTTCGATGACGCAGTGGTGCACGGGCCAACTCGAATGACGACCGACCAAGCTACAGCTACCAAGCCGACATCACACATCCATCTATATATTACCCTGACGCAGTACACCCTACTTTGGCTGACCATGGCAGTCCGAGGGAATTTCATACTGTGAGAGCAACGGGATGGACAGACGCAGGATGATGCTTTGCTAAACGGGTACTGTAAACGTCGGAAACGGTGACTGACGGGATTCCAAGAACATCCGGGGGGGAGATACGGGATACGCTACTGTGTACTCGGTACGCAGCCAGACGGGCTACCACAGTATTCGCTGGAATGTGACGTTGAGGTCTGTTGCTACTGCGCCACAGAGATATAGTAACAGTACTTTGTACAAGTACTCGGTACCTGCGCAGTTGGTTGCGATGACTGAGACTGAGTATCCCAGCCACAGTACATGATTCCATACATGTACCACAGTAACAAGTACAGCACCGCATTCGCCCGGTCGTGGCGGTTGGCATGCCCCTGACGTCATTGGTCTGTTGCCCCTTACAGTACGTACACAGTGCAAGTACAAGTACAAGTAGTAGCTCTTGAATCTCAGCCCGACGACAGTCCAAGTAGGCGACCGTTCCATGAGCGCATCATGAGCAGGGGCCAGTATTGAAAAACGTGGGCGATCCATCTTGGCTGTCGTAGATGATGGATGGGATGATATCCATCCCATCTATCATCTACGGTATGATCTACACAATACCTGGCTGTGGCGTTGGGCAGAACTCACAACTCTGGTAAGCCCCCCTAGCAGCCCATTCAATGTAGCAGGAGCACAAGTAGAAACAGTTCTACTTGTACTCGACTTACCCAACCACGGGAAAGTCGTGGCTGAGATTCTGGTGAACTTATGCTGCAGGTATACTATATATGGTATGCTGCGGTAGAATCAAAGATACTATTGTCTGCCCATGCACATGCATGGAACATGTCGCAGAAACCCGTGGGGAATACAGCTCACCAAAGGGTCCAGAGTCCAGGGCGATGTGTTTCAATTATCCAACGTCAGCGCGTCTAACGCAAGATTCACCTACAGTAAGTACCACGACAGTACACAGTACTCTTGAGCGTTGCTTCAGATAAAGTACAAGTATCAGACTTTAAGCTTACTATCGGAACGCTTACCTAATCTATCTTAAACCCGACACTAGCGCATATCCCCGTACCGACAACAGTCGGCGGCTCGGCACAATTTTCTAACCTCTGCTCGCGGCGCTCTGCGGACTTTCCGACCTCACAGATTACTGTATTGCCATCGACCCCGGCGAAATCGATTCACCATGGCGCACTATTTGAGATCCTTTACGTTCAGCATGCGCATACGGGACATACGAAACTGAACCCGGCGTTTCCGCTAGCTCTCCACTGCCCTAGTGCAAACCGTTTCTTCTACAAGTACACTTCGCCTCAGCGTTGGCCCAATTGACAGCGTACCCACGGTTCCCTTGCCGCCTGTCTCGCCTCGCCTCTAACCGCGTGGCCTACGCCTTTTGCGGGTTGCCACCATGGAGCCCTCACCTGGTGCACCGTCATCGCCGCTATTTGCTATCCGGCAAACGCCGCACGCTGGCCGCGCTGTCTTCGCTACAACATTTATACCCCAAGGCACCCTAGTCTGGCGCTCCGACGACCTCACCCTCTCGGTTCTTCTGCGAGAATATCGCCGCGAAGTATGTGGGCAATGCTTCGGATATGACTATGGACGGGATCTGCCAATACGTGATCAAAAGATAGGGTTCGCGTTTTGCAGCGAAGAGTGTCAGCAAAAGTGGAGGGAGGAGAATGGGCAGATTGGAATGGAAACGTGGACGGCTGTGGAGAAGCTGGTCAAGGGCCGCAGCAAGGAGGATGCAGACATGGTTGACAGCGATCTCCCAAGGCCGAAGAAGAAGGAGATTGAGGCAGCCTGGGCAGGTGTTGCGGCGCATGCCCATCTAATAAGGATTGCAAGACAGGCGGAAGAAACTGGGGTCCCTCAAGAGGGTGCAATTGTGCAGGTTACCAAGCAGCATAAGAAGGCCCTCCAGAAAGCACTCCTGCAACCAATCTCGCCTGATGTCATGAGCTTCTGCGTATCCGGCATTCTCTGGCGCTACCTCAAGCCCCAGGAGTGGGATAGGGTGCTGGCTTTGGCGTCGGATTCCACGCCTTACCATAACACGGACGACCTACACGCCTTCACGCGCACATACTTGCATCTTCTTGCAATCCTTCCTCTTCCCCTACTCCCCTTGGTTACCCCCGAGACTCTATTTATCCTCTCTGCACGCGACTCGCACAACTCCTTCGGCATCCGCTCCCTCGAAGATGACGGCTCAGAGTTCTTCGGGTATGGATGCTGGCCGGCTGCCTCCTACTTCAACCATTCCTGCGGCCCAAACATTGAGAAGCGGAGGAATGGCAGGGTGTGGGAATTCAGGGCTGGTAGGGACATTGAAGAGGGTGAGGAATTGTGCATCACGTATCTGAGCGGGGAGGAGAGGAAGATGAGCCGCGGCAAGCGCATGCTGACGTTGAAGCGGAATTGGGGGTTTGATTGTGCTTGTGAGAGGTGCGAAGAGGCTTGAATTGAGGGGTAGACAGCGTCTGATATATTATGAGCATGTACAAGAACTCAAATCAGTCATTACCTCGATAGTTTCTCCACCAGAAGAAGCTGGACTTCCCCATGAAAAGTACATTGGCCACGCTTTTGTTCCCAACACCACTCTCTTCGCGACGCTAACAATTCCATTCTGCAAGGTTCTGCAAGGTTGGCGGATAATAACTGGAAGGGGACTAAGAGGCAGCCTATGTCGATCGGTTTCAGCGGAAAAGGACGAAAATGATGCTTTGGAACTGGTAGGCGAAAAACGACGCATGGAGAGGACGCGCCGATTTAGGTAGGTTTATGGGACGAGATATATAATAGTTTCAAAGTAAAAAAAAAAAAAATTAATGATTACCGACAACGTGCCAGAGTGGTTAATGGGTATGACTCGAATCTCATCATTCGGCTATCATATGGCTTCGGCCGCACAGGTTCGAGTCCTGTCGTTGTCGCTGTTTTTCTTTTTTCGCCCCATTTCATTTCATTTCCTTTTTTTTTTTCTCTGCAATCACCTCCTGATCTGTCCTGCCTAGGTTTATTATTGTCCACAAAGGACACTTCTTTTTTTAGTTTCTGAGGTGCGTAAAGACGCAGTTGGGGCGCAGCAAACGCCTTCCAACATGAAGCCCTATTTGTCGGACCACGCCTTTGTGTGCGCAAAAGTAGGAAGTACAACCGTCTCACAATAGCAAACCTCAGCCATCCTCAAAGAGCATGTTCAGCCCAACCACGTTTCACCCGGTGGAAAGCAAGCTCGGGAATTGTGGCGGATCAGGATTCGCGTTGCAATTGCTATTGACGGCTATGGCGCTCAGCTCAGGCAGTGGTGGCGGATATGATGTCGCTGCTGCGGTTTGCGGTCGTTGTACTGTGTGAGACGCTGGATGGTGGCTGTCGGGCTGAGTAGCGGTCTACAACCATTAGTTGGGGGACAAGTGTGGGCTTTGAAAGGGAAGTGATGCCGCTGGTTGGGCTTTGAGAATCTTCTTCTACCCTTTTTCTCCTGTTGTCATGGTCACCGTTTGAGCTTTGAGAGACGTACGTTATGAGGGCATGAGAACATCCACGACATCATGAAATCGCAATCTCTACCTTCGGCTGGTACGTACAACATGACAACGCTGCACCAAGCCCCGCTCACACAGCGCTAGTCTTCGTCATCTTTCTCCCATTCGTTCTTCTCGCGGCCTCTCAAGCGGAGACCGGTATTTCATCATTCGTCCACGCCACACAGTATGGAAATATCACTTTCGCGGCGACACTGGCGCGGGATGGAGATCTCTTCTTTCATCTAGAGGCCCCAGCGGCTAACAGCTGGGCTGCTGTGGGAATTGGCGAGGGGATGAAGGGAAGTTTGATTTGGGTGTTCTATCGAAACGACGAGGGGAATGGTACGTGTTCATTCTTCTTTCAACCGGAGCAAGCTAAATGCACCCCGACATATCCATGCATTGCAGCTTTCCGGCGGCGAAGGTAAATATATGGAGGTAAAGATCTGACATTTCTCTTCTTCAGGCGTTACACTGTGCTCCCGCACCACAGACGGCAACGTCGAGCCCGCGCATGTCGAGGGCTCCAACTGCGTTCTCTACGATGGCCCCGGCGTGGAAAACGGCGTCTTCCCGATCAACGAGACCGACTTCTTCGTTGCAAATGTTCGCTGCAAGGACATCGTCAGTCCGAAGAGCAATACCACAACCGTCGTCACCACCACCACCAACAGCAACAGCAACGAGGTCCACAAGCGCCCCACCCTTCCAAGAGTCGAATACACTTATCCTCACCCCTACATCTTCCCCAAGCTCTCGTCCGCCAATCCCTCCCAAGCTTTCATCTTCGCACTGGGTCCCACAGACCGCAAACTCCGCTCTAACAACAAAGGTGCCCCTATCCGTCGGCACAGTCTTTATGGCCACTTCCGTCTCGACCTCTCCGCTGCCACTGTGTCCACCGCTGCCGAAGTTCCCTACGAAGCACTCGGCGCAACCGGAACGTGGCAGAACCGACACGCGCAGCTTGGGGGAGGACTGGGTGCCGAAAAGAATTACTCCACCAAGCGAGATCGAGGCGGCTGGGAGGGCACGATTCATGCGATTTTGATGACGAGTACGATGGTGATCCTGTTTCCCGTAGGAGTGGTGTTTCTGAGGTTAGTGGAGAAAGTGAGGCCGCATGCGGTGATGCAGGCGATTGGCTGTGTCTTTGTAATTGTGGGGATGGCGATCGGCATCTGGGCTGGCGGGAAGTATAATCAGGTGAGTCTGGATTCCATTTGTCGATTGCCATCTGTCACCTCTGCCGCCGCAGACAGACGGATGGAGGGAGGGGAAAAAAAGAGAATGCCTGAGAGGTGAAGGGATTGCTGACGGGAAGTCAAAGACGAAGAGGATAAGCCAACCCCACCAGATTATCGGTTTCGTTGTAGTGGCCTTCACCCTCTTCCAATTCACCCTCGGAATCTCCCAGCACCTCCTCTCCAAGAAACCACGGCAACACGCAGGCAACGCTATCCATCCGAAGAACAGACCGAATGTAGTGCTCCTTCGCCGGATCCACGTCCCATTAGGCTCACTCATCCTTATTGCTGGCGCAGTGAACGGCTTCCTCGGATTCCTGCTCACGGCCAATGAGTCGTTAAGGATTATTTATGCGGCGATGGTGGGATTCGTGGCCGTGGGGTTGGTGGTAGCGCTGACGTGGATACGGGCTGTGAAGAGAAAGGAGAGGAGAAGAATTGAAGAGAGGAGCGGGATCGATGAGGGGTCGACGTACCAGAACAAGGACGGCGTCGAGGCTGAAAAGGATCAGAGGATCGCGCAGGGGGATAGAGAAATGGGGATATTGGAGATGCCGCCGTACGGTCTGCCACTGGGATACAGTGCTCCTCCTGTTCCTAGTCGGCCTGAGATTGTTTAGGAGGTGGTGTTTTCCGGAGTAAGCATATTACGGCGTTAGCAGGATGGATCTGGCATGAGGTTTGTCTGTTTGATATTTTGTAGTCCTACCAGGTTTTTCATATAATGTTGTCTTTTTCCCATTCATCTCGAAGAGTAGCCCTCTTTAGTGAAGATGCACGAGCTGTTCGGCGGTACTCTCCTTAACTTGGGGGGAAGGTTCATGACCCACTGACTCTATTGACCATCCTAAGGGGTGGCTAAATAGTCTATCTACAAGTATTATCCGAATTCAGTTGAGTGTTCGGGTTCTCCATCATCGAAATCGGACCTTTATCGCCCTTAGTCCAAGTTAATAGAACAGTCCTGAATCAGATGAGAGATGCTAGTTGCGACGACAGGACAGTGGCGAAAACTATGCACCGCAGGGCACAAAGCATCCCACGAGAATGTTTAGTCACGTTCTAAGAAGGATAACCTTTGAGGATTACTGATATATGGGAATGTGTATACGGGTGATTTTCATTCCTAGATTTGCGATATTATGTTATACTGGTATCTTCGTTTAGTAGTCTACGCAGTGCATGGGCGCCTTTTATTTCACTGTACCTTACAGGGAGGTGATGCAAATGGGCGAAGCGGTGTGACCTCTGAGGGTTACGCCACGCTGCATCTCTCATGTAGCAGGTTGGTGGAGCTACAAAATGAATCCCCGCCAAACCGATCGACCGGTCCATATCTTCCGAAGCAACCTGAATGATACCCACTTCGACCTCCATACCCTCCAGGATAGCGTGTGCACATGCAAGGCGTGCATCCAGGCTAAATAAGAGAACAGTGCCACACCTTGGTGCGGGAACTTCCCCGCGTCTCCCACGTGCGACCAATGTGGATGGCACGACGGTTTCATTGAAAATCCTGCCGAGTCCAGGCCTGCGTGTGCGTGGACTCGTCTTCCCTGGAGCCATGCAGTTCAGGCTCCCCGTCCGGAGTTCCCTTCATAGCTGTTGAACCAGACTTCGATGTCGATGGTAGCGGCGGCCCGCCGCGACCGTACTTCAATGTCCCGCAGGAAGCCAATAGGATACTCCCAGAATTGCTTAATTTCTTACCATGGGATAGCATTTTAGGTCCTGTACAGATAGGGAAGGCCGTAACTAGGCTCAAGCTAGCAGAGGGTGCCTTCACCACGAGGTCAACCTACTAGGACAGAAGGAATAGGTGTAGCAAAAGAAGCAGTTCACGTATGGCAGGTGAAGCTGTTGATGCGCCTCGTCGAATTTCCACAGAAGGACGGTGGTTCGCAAAAGCAGTGCAATAGACGGCTTTGGGCAAAAGTATGCAACGGATACTCAGACCAAAGGGGATCGTGACGCGTTAAACTCGTTAGCGCCAGGGTCCTTTTACAATACATAGTGCACATACCAATCTTTTCCCTGGGCGTGGCGCACGTTTTTGTTCATCAACAAGTCCAACTCCACTCTTCCAACCCAGACGCCCATGCCGAATCTGATCCCGAGAGTGCGATGCAGAGACAGGGTAATAAAAGTGCCTACATATGGGTTGCGTTGCTGATCCAACCTAGCACGGCCGCCGCCCCCGCGTGCAAGACATTCGAGAAAATCTGCAGGAGGCTGATCAGCGAGCTACTTCGCGCCCATCTCTCAAAGCAGCAGGTAGTTTCACTGTTCTCTGCCTCTTCAGTACTACTGTTATCATGTTATCATTGCCCACCGGGCACCGGCCTCTCCGGAACCAACGCGGTTCTATTTCTTCGCTCCGTGCCTGGCACAAATAAACTGCACGGGCGGTGATAAGGCAGCGTTTTCGGCTGCATGGGTTGCTAAATTCGGCCTTGGTTCTGGTGCTTGATAAACTCTATCGGGCCCCGAGTCAGTTTGGTTTTCGCAGCGTTCGGCGATGACTCCACAACTACGGGGGCTGGTGTGAAGATCCATCTCATTCTTCGGTAGTCTATGTATAACCGAGAATTGCAAGCGTTGGGTGTCTCACAGCTCGAACCATCAAATGATCTCTCCTTGGCCGACGGAGGATACCGTGGCGGAAAATGAACCCTCGGCCAGGAAAGCCTTCTCGTACACCTTTCTCCCCGATAGCGAACAACACGAGAGCCCCAACCGAAAAGCGTGCGGATCAACGTTTGGGCGCTCGCGTCCACGAAACTCCGACTCGCTTCAGCTTCGGGTGAGGGAGAAGTGGTGAGTCAGGTCAGGCGCTGATTTCCGCCCCCATCATCATCCGTGGCGTGCCGGCAGCGTAACCAACCAGAAGAGCCCCTGTGCGTTTTTGATGCGTTGAGAGAGAGTGAGTGAGGGAGAGGAGAGAGACTTGAACCCTCGACAGGCCGGCGACGGCGACGGCGGGCACTTGGCGGTGATAGACCTATCACAGCGCTAGTACATTGTAGGGCCTCAGCCCTTCGGCCCAGGCACCGAAAGTGAAAGTTTGGTGAATTTGGTGAGTGGCGGCGCCGGACAGCGGGCGTGGAAAGGGGAAAGGCGGTTCCCGTCCCCGCGTCCACTCCCGAAGTCCCGCTCTGTCCCTGTCCCGCTGATTGGCGGCGCTTGTCTGACTTCGATTTGAGCTTTCTGCAACGTCTCATCCACAGTACGGAGGTGTTGCCAATAAGTTTATTCCGCCCGGAGGAGCCACGCTAGAGCTGAGAGGCTTGCAGGGGTAGTTTCTTGGCGGCACAAGCTCAGAGTGAATGCTCACAAAATTGCATAAAATATATAGTAAATGAGCTAAATTCAGAACTCCTCATCTATCTCCCCTTCCGCATCTAGTTCAGAGTCCCATTCACTTGAAATCTCAGCTTCTTCTGCCTCATCTAGCTCACTGTTACGGACCTCTGCCTCATCTAAATCACAGAGCTCAGCCCAGGTCATCTCATCCCTGAAGTCTCCAAATATAGGCCTGTTTTCTGGAGAGAATAAGGAGCTTAATGAGGAGCTTGATGAGGAGCTT